TATGCTCGCTTGTTTTGTATCAGGCTGTAGGTAAAAGAAAACTAAAAAGTTTTCTTCGTCAGTAGCTATGTTTTCTTAGTCTGTAGCAGAAACTGAAGATATGCAGATAGCAGAGAGAAATGTAATAGCACATAGCTGCTAAAGACTATAGTCTGGTCTGCGAGCACCTAGAATTTTGTCCAATGACCCCAAGCTACCCATCTTTATCGCTCGCGCGTAATTATATTGCTGTCGCGCTCGCACACTGACTGCGGGCGCTCGTCGCACAGTCGCGACAGCAATATAATTACGCGCGAGCGATAAGAATGGGTAGCTTGAGGTCATTGGACAAAATTCTACGTGCTCACAGATCGGGCTTTAGCAAAAGATGCTAATTGTATTCTTCTTCGACTCGAGGTGTTACTACCCTCACCCCACTGTGCTCGCTTGTTTTCTATCAGGCTGCCGTGTGGGCCGATAATATTTCGTCGGCTGTTAGTTGTTACCTCAACGACAGGATTGGGGTGATCTGACTCATTGTCGAAGGATTTCGAAGGAAATTGCTAGTTTTGATGTCGGATTAATTCTCCCAATGTTGTAATGTCAGTGATACAAAAACGATATGAGTAAGTCGTTTATGTGATACTTTTAGTTTCATTGACTCAAAATCAAAAATATTTATTCAGTTTAGACCACAAGTGGCACTTATGAACGTTAAAAAAATAGTAAATAATAAAAAAGAAAAGGTAGCCCTTATGGGGCACTTTACATGTCTCCTTATCTTTTGGGCCCTACCAGCGCTTCGAGACAAACATTTATGGCAAGTGCTGAGAAGAAACGCCGGAACAAACTCAGTCACCACTAATTGCCAGGAATTATCTAACGGTAAGAATAACCAAATTCAAGTAAATCAAATATGTGCAGACTGAACTGACCACGCATCCTTGTCGTCAATAGTCTCGAACCTTGTAGTACCCTGTGGACATAAGGGTAACTGAATTAAGCGTACCTATAGTTATATATCAATAGATCGATAATAAACTGCCATCCCAACGGGTTGTTTACGTTGCCCAGGCGTTACTTTATGTCGCGCCCTTTGAAGTAGTTCAAACGCGCCGCCATTTTGGGAAAAATAACACATTAAACTATGGACAGCGTGTTGTCATTGTTATATTTAGCACGCTCATTGATGTCTCTATTAGGAGAAATGGTTGGCTTTGTCTATTTAGGTATAGTTTTGTTGTAGTGAAGACACGCAGCGTTTTTCGAGGATTTATTCCTATTATCATGATACTTCTTACAAATATATCATGAACTAGCTGACCCGGCGAACTTCGTACCGCCTTAGCGTAGAGATTTTCTTAATATTTTTTTCCGTAAGAACCATCCTTGGACTTCCACAAACATTAAAAAAAAAGAATTATCGAAATCGGTTCAGCCGTTCACACGTGATGCCGTGACAACGCGAAACGGGTTTCATTTTTATATATATAGATTATTGTTAAAAATTAAATAAGCAGGTAGGTATCTTTTATTATGTATACCAAGGCAGGTATTTTGGTGTTATTAAGTGAGATGCAGTCTAGGAGGATCTAATTTAATTTAAAAAAGAGATGGTCCAAAAAAACCAGAATCGATTGGGACTAAATAGGTATCAGTAGATTCACTATAGAGCACATTTTACCCTACGGTAAACTTAATGTCGAAATCGATGGGGTATAGAAGTTACAAACTGACAAAGTTTATATGAAGAAATCTTGAGACTGATAGACTCATCTCATTATCATCACCATCATTCAGCCATAGAACGTCCACTGCTGAACATAGGCCTCCCCAATGATTTCCACAAAGCCGGTTGGTAGCGGCCTGCATCCAGCGCCTTCTTGCCTTTACGAGGTCGACGGTCTACCTTGATAGACTCATCTGATTCTGAATATCCTTACGAAACCCTATATTAGCCTCCGATATAGTTTCCCACACTTATGTCTTTGCCCGAAGTTTGGTAATCAGCGATAAGGGGAGATCAGTCAACTTCCTTGCGCAACAATAGATGCATCATTCTGATAATCCAATTTCCTGGAAATATAGGCCATTATTGTTACGACACTTACAACTAAAAATATTCTCCACCTGACTCTATAAAGAAAGCTGAAATCGTCAAACTATTCGATTTCTTATCAATACAAATAACAAATTTATTAAATAATCACCACCATTCACAATCTTTAGTTTCGTTCCCAAGCCGATAAATTTTTATCTTTTAATTCCAGCAAAAAGTCTCCCCCGATAAACCTATTTATATTTCCCACTGGCAGGAAATAAAAAAAGGAAAATAAAAAAAGCTAAACGTTCTCAGGGAGCGATTCTGTATCAATAGATTGTCCAAACTCGGGGGTGGATGCTAAATTCCGTATCTCGAATCGTTTAGCGTGTAGACGCGAGTGCGGTGTGGGAGTGACATAAGTGTACCGCCGCAAAAAAAGTGTAGAAAAAAAATTACGGACCCCCAAAGCGTTCGGGAAGGGTTTTATTGTGAAATTAATACGTCATCGAGAATTTTTGGGAATCGATAAATTGCTTTTGAGTCCTTTTAGCGATTGAAAGACCACATATTTCCATGTTGGGTCCTTTTAGCGATTTACATCTCTATTTCCCAGATTGATTGTCATTTCATGGATTGTCGTTGACGAGGTACTTAACAGATAAAAGCCGTACCGCCTGTTTTCACAGCTTGCATCAGTTTTTGAGTCAATTAAACGTGTTGTGTTTGCCGCCACATCCTTTTCGTCTTTTTGAGTTGTATTTTCTTAAGTTTTATGTGCGAGTGCGCGGCCGATTGAGACGTCCTTTTGGACAAGTCCTTGGTACTGTTTGGAGAACAAACAAATATTATGTCAGAGCATTGTCTAAGCGTTCTTTGAACTATGCAATTAGGTATAACATGACTACAAAAACTCTATATCTGTTAAAAAGAGGTAATGTTCTTCAGAAGACAGCTGATTCATCTGTTTAAAGAAAATAGAGTCACTTTTCGCTTTAAAAACAAAAAGCTAACGCCCGTATTCACAAAGGATGCTTGCATAAGTGAAGCAGCAAATCGAACGCACAGCGTTCAATAAGCTCTGTGATTGATTCATGTGTCTCCCTGTGGGTCCACGCGCACTGTGAGACCTCATAGTAATGTTTGTCAATACATAATGTAGAGTAAAGAAAATGCTTCCTACTCGTCAATCCTGCTGACTGTTAGAACACAGTCTAAGCTTACGTGCTGATAACATTATCACTATCAGGTCGTTCACCTCCGAGATTACGTTGTTTGCTGTTGGGCAAGCCTTGAATGTGGCCGAGGCCTGGCTAGGGCGGGGGCACACTGGCGACATTGTGCATTCAGCAGTGACTACACTATCTGCTTCTTCAAGGTGAGAGTGAATAGGCACTTATGGGGCCAAACGAATGACTGCATCTCACTTAACATCAGGTGCGATTGCAGTTAGATACTTACCTCATTCAAATCTCTTGTTCTGCATTAAAAAAGTGACTTGTCTTTCTATCTACTGTTGTTAAGCGTCAAGTTGCTGCCAAGTTCTGAGTCAATTCTTTTAAGCACACTCTCTCTTTAAAGATGGGTCTGTTATGTGGAAGTACGTTAAAATATGGGACGGATTTTAATGCAACTTTGTAATTGTAATGTTGTTTTCTAACTAGACATAGACTAATTAGTAAGGCTACTTTTATTGAAACTTTAGCGGACGAAGTCATGGACAAAGGCTAGTTCTTTACCATCAGTCATATTCAAGCTGCAATGTCTTTACCAGCTCTGAACTGACTATCTCTAGCTTCTCGTGTCAGCGTGCCCTTAGTGTGAGGAAAACTAAAGCAAACGCACTTGTCAACAAGCGCCGCTGCGTTTGTGATTCATTGCTGGATCTTTTGATTACTTTTATTGTGTCAGTGTTTGGACAGAGGGGCAGTGACTCTAATAAATACGCGCAGAGATAGATACTCATTTAGCAAATAGCTGTCGAGGATAGGCTGGGTTAGAATGAACAATAATTTTATTTAAGCATAATGATCTAGAATAGAAGGTTTCAGGCGCGTAGCTTCCGCCATATCTGCCGTATCAACGATACGGGGCTTCTGGCCCACAGTGCCTTTTTGAATGAATCTTCAATGGGCTTTCTTGATCTTGACCTTTAACTTTAATCCCTCCAAGTTGATACGAGGCCCATCTAAGGGATGCTACGCTCCTACATAGTATATCAAATAATGATTGTTAATGGTTTCAATCAGATTTCCTTTTTTCTGTAAAATGTCTGAAAGTTTTTCTTATAAATCCTGAACGTGTAGAAATTGTAGAAACTATACCCTGAACTACTGAGTCACATATCAAAACAATACCTCGGAAGGCTGCCATACAAACACGCGTCGCTTTCGCTGCGTGCGCGCACGATAAGCGCGTTATCAACGCAAACGCTATTGTTGGCAGACTACAGGGGCGAAGAAAGTTCTCTATTCTTAGACGTTGATTACTGTTCGTTTTCTACTAATATTGTTTTAGCACGATGAGTTACATGTCAGTAATTAAACGTGAGCAATTTTTAAAATCGGTTTTTGACAGTTGCAAGAACAAGTGCTTATGAAATGGTCTTCCGAGATTGGAGGGTTACGTATATCTAATGGTTCTAGAAAAATATAGTTCTGAAGTATTTGTCAATGATGATACATCAAGCTTCTATGTAGTTANTGTAGTTGCTTCTTTTTTTGTTGCAGTTCCTAAATTCTTTGATGGCCTTATGGAGGCCTAATTAAGTAAGATTATGGTCGTTGGGAAAGGCACCAGGCACACGAAGACGTTGGTAGGCAAACCTGCCACTCGGTGGATCGATCGATCGTTGTGGAAATCCTTGGGTAAATCCAGCAGTGGATGTCCTTAGATTGAACGGAAGATGTGTCTAATGGGATATAAAGGCCTAATAGCACAGTAAAAATAGGTCAGCCTGGCGAGTCCGACACATACTCACCTGATCTCTCGCTTGATGTCGTCGTAGTCGCGCTGCGCGTCGATGCGCGCTTCCAATCGCGCGATGTGCTGCTTTTTCTCGTCCAGCCGCTCCTCCAGTCGTGCCAGCTGCTGCGCGTGCGCGTCCTGAAGCGCCGCCAGCGACGCTTGCAGGCGGCGCACGTCTTCCACTAGCTGCGCGATCTGTGGGCGAAAAGGAGCTTTATTGTATCTGGCAAAAGGGTGCAAGTTGTCTGTCTTTTACTAGCTGCGCGATCTGTGGGCGGAAATGAGCTTTATTGTCTCTGTTAGAAGGGCGCAAGTTGTTTATCTGGAGATCGAGGGTTTCTTTTCAAGCAGAAAGGCACAAGTTATTCGTCACGTTTTAAGATTGTGTTTTGTCTTTTACTAGCTGCGCGATCTGTGGACGAAAATGAGGGTTATTGGCTGTGGCAGAAGGATGCAATTTGTTTGTCTGGAGATCGAGGGTTTTTTTCAAGCAGAAAGGCACAAGTTATTCGTAACGTTTTGCGATTGTATTTTGTCTTTTACTAGGTGCGAGATCTGTGGGCGAAAATGAGAGTCGACTCATGCAGTTTTCTACCAACTTGGAGGTGATTAAGTTGGAGTTTAAGGCCATCAGCGCGGCCTGACTGTCTGAGTTAATGTAAATTATGTGGTTGGCATAATTTTTCGCAGGTTAGCTTCCGCACATTCAATAACGGCGTAGACTTCTGCCTGAAAGATAGAGGCAAATTTACCCAGGCTATGAGATAGCTTAAGCTTCGGCTGCTCTCCATACACGCCAAAGCCTACGTTAGGGCCCATTTTTGCCCCATCAGTAAACCATATAACAGAAGAACTAACTATAATATTTATTCTTTAATGCCATATAAATTGGTACACCAATCGAACTTAATGCAGTTGATATACTAATAAATTGATTGAATAACTTAATACTAACTTTATCAACAGTTAATCAACTACATTATTCAAGTTTCTGCTTGGTCTAGTAAATAATTGATCGCGAGAGGCGCCGGTCCCTCTTGCTGTCAAGAAAAAAATCGCCGCCTTCGTCTGGCAGACAACCCACACTATTGGACTATATTTTAAGCGAATCACTCACACAGAGATTGGCAAAGATGTCTCGGAATGCAAATGGGAACCACAACCTCTGGAAGGCAACAAAGTACCTCGCTCAAAGTGTTCTCCGCTTATTAGGTCCGATAATACATGAGTGCGAACTGACAAGAAAAATCTCAGACCTTGGCTACATGACGAGCCGGTTTATTTGACCCATTGACACGGATAATCCAAAAAATCCACAATTCAATCAAAAAAATAAGATCAAGCATTGGACTTGATCCGACACTTGCAGCTATGCCTGCCTTTGATTCCTACTGATGATGATGATTCATCCGACCGATTTCGGTCATGGTGACCACTTCTACTTAGCTGTCTTAGCGCCGCTGGTGCGCCCGAAGATGGCTTACCAAGCCGATCTTCGCGGCAAACTCCTCGCACATTGAGAGTAATTACCCGCCGCCAACATAATTATAGTGAATGGCGATAGATGGACGGGATTTACATCATCGCGTTTTGCGTCGAGTTCAGTTGTGCGCTGCTCCTTGAATTCGCGGACTCGCCTCTACACAACACAATCTCCCGCTTTTGTGTTTGAGAGGGCCCATTTTACATCTTTTCGTATGCTGCTTCTGGACATCTTTGTACTTGACTATCTGAGGAGTTGACCGCCATGTTTGCGCTTAGCGCTTACCCTCCTCAAGTTCAAAGTAGAAGATTGATTCCTACTACGCTAATTGAGGACGAAAGACACAGGAGGACAAAGTGACTGATATAGCTCACAGAATCGCTAAAATCAAGTGGCAGTGGGTGGGGCACATATCTCGTAGAGCTGATGGCCACTGGGGCAGTAAAGTTCTTAGTGGCGACCACGAGCCGTGGGCAGGCCTCCCACTAGGTGGACCGACGATTTAGGGAAGGTCGCAGGAAGTGCCTGGATGCGAGCGGCGCAGGACGTCTTTCGGCTGAAACGAAAGAACTAACGCTAAGGCTAAACTAAAGAAATATCAAAAATGGAGCCTCGTAAAGTACTTGCATTTGATCTGATCACCATGAAGTCCATGGTCTTGACAATGACCACTCTGAGTGAGAACCTCGCAAGTCTCTTAACTTTGTAAATGATCCATAAGGCTGGCAAGTCGCCTAATGAATTCTCTTATCGCTCAATTAATCTGACATTTGTATTGTTAAGATTATGGAAAAGGATCATTCTTGCTCGTTTATTCCCTTGCCTAACTATGACCCATGTAATATAGTATACCCGACCATAAATTTTGGCAGAAACCATACCGACCATAATCAGTACAATGTTTGGAAAAGAAAGAATCCCGTACGTCTGGTTTCGCTGCGGCTTCAGCTGGGTTTATCATAAAGGACTACTCTATGAAATTAAAAAGTACCTTCTAGCACACTTCTACTACCTGCTGATGGATTCTTATCTCAGTGANCTTTATTGTATCCGGCAGAAGGGCGCAAGTTGTTTATCTGGAGATCGAGGGTTTCCTTTCAAACAGAAAGGCAGTTATTCGTAACGTTTTGCGATTGTGTTTTGTCTTCTACTAGCTGTCCGATCTGTGGGCGAAAAGGAGCTTTGTTTTATTTTACAGAAGGGCGCAAGTTGTTTATCTGATCGAGAGTTTCTTTTTAAGCAGAAAGGCACAAGTTATTTGTTACGTTTTGCGATTGTGTTTTGTCTTCTACTAGCTGTCCGATCTGTGGCCGAAAAGGAGCTTTATTGTATCTGGCAGAAGGGCGCAAGTTGTTTATCTGGAGATTCTTTTCAAGCAGAAAGGCACAAGTTATTCGTCGCGTTTTAAGATTGTGTTTTAGTCTTTTACTAGGTGCGAGATCTGTGGGCAAAAATGAGCTTTATTGTATCTGGCAGAAGGGCGCAAGTTGTTTATCTGGAGGTCTAGGGTTTCTTTTCAAGCAGAAAGGCTTAAGTTATTCGTCACGTTTTAAGATTGTGTCTTGTCTTTTACTAGGTGCGAGATCTGTGGGCGAAAATGAGGGTTATTGGCTTTGCCAGAAGGGCGCAAGTTGTTTATCTGGAGATCGAGGGTGTGGCGACGCCACTACAAACTAGTGACCAACAGATGGCGCTGTCACTACTTCACTATGTCACACTCCGCCGCTCATACAAACCTGCATCGCGGTGACGGAGTTTTATATCCTGCCAAGTATATATAGACAAACCAAGATGGTGTAAATTGGACCTTGGTCCCCGAGCATAACACCCGCTCGGAAGGAAGCACTAACATCTAGCTTCCTTATTGTGGTTGAGCATCTTATCCCACAAGGGTTTTTTTCAAGCAGAAAGGCACAAGTTATTCGTAACGTTATGCGATTGTGTTTTGTCTTCTACTAGCTGGCCGAAAAGAAGCTTTGTTATATTTGACAGAAGGGCGCAAGTTGTTTATTTGGAGAACGTGGCGTTCTATTACTCTATGCAGAAGGCACAAGTTATTTGTCACGTTTTACGATTGTGTTTTGTCTTCAATTTATCTGCGCGATCAGTGCAATTTGCGATTTTGTTTTGTCTTCAAATACCGCTTCTATCTGCAGAATCTTATGTGGTAGAGCGAGGAGCTTTATTGGATTTTTAGTTTTATGCTGGACCTGTATTATTCTGTTTGCGAAGATGCACAAAAGCTTTTGTGTAACTAAGTGAGAATCTGTTGAATCGTTCAGTTCTGTCACGTGTTTTGTCTTTGCAAAAGCTCTTCCAAAATATTTCCGGAATGCGTTATGGGAAGTTGAAAATGCAAACTAAAACTATTATATTTTTGGTCAGTAACAGTTTTTATTCAGTACATGAGTTCCTACAATTTAAATAAAGTTTTTCTACAATTTCTTCCTTGACAATATTGACTCTAATATCCGATTGACTGCCCTGCATTAATTTATTTTAATCTTGCAATTTATTTAACTGACATTTATGATTTTGACATTTAATTTGCTCATTATTACTTTTCTTTAACATAATATTATACTTAAAATCACGCTTTAACATTTGTATGCCGACAAGGCTGATCACGGCTTGAACACATATCTTGTTTGTACATCATACTGCTTACCTGTGTTTCACAAATAAATTATTTGAATTTGAATTTGAATTTGAAAACTTTCCGAAAAACATATTTTGTACAAAAATGTTGGCAAATCTTGACACACGTGTGACCGGCAAACATCATACCGTGTGAAATAATAATAAATATCGCGGAAATAACAAATTACCTTACAGTTAAGCGTAATTTTTGTTCGCTGAAATCTCAGATTATAAGTTAATTAAAATATCTAATCACCCTAATTATAATTCTGATAATAATGGGAAAACCAATTATAAAAGCTAAAAAGATTTACTTAAGTAGGTATCAGCTCTAGAATTCCCAGATTTTCGACTTTAATGCAATAAACATAAGGATAAATTATGTTTAAAATGGCGACTAATAATAAAATGCGTCAGTGTATAGACATACTGAAATTAGAGGAAGAAGACTCATTTTCAAACCCAATAATGAGTGTAGTTGTGGGTTGGATCCTTACCATGGAAATACGTCCAACTGAATCCACCTCTGACATTTTTATCATTGTTTGCGTTTAGTCAAGACTTGATTGTAGGTTAGCTAGATAACTATTAGTAAGTATTAACTAGTAGTTATGAATATATCAAGTTAATTAGCCACGAGAATGTCTGAAAATTTTGACGCTTAAGCAAATACAAGTAGTTTTATTAATAAAATAGAGTATCGATAAAAGTATTTACTGAATATATTTCCATCATACACTGCGGTATTGAGATAGCACTGATTAGTTTACAATGGAATTATTTGGTTAATTTATATCTACGATAACAATTCCTTGAACACGAACGATCTGTAAATAATTGTTTTTCTTTAAACTGTCAACTCGAATTATGGATGTAAAATAATTTGATATTCTTAATTTAACATGGAGGCGTGAAGCTAAATTTTGTGTACATTTTAAGACGAAAAATGAGACAAAATAAACAGATTTTTTGGAATAAAGAAATATCATTAATCATTAAATGTTCAGACAAGAATAGCAAGCAAACATTTCAATAATAAACCAACTCCAAAAATATCCAAATCCAGTTTTAC